TAATAGGCGTATAGACATAGCAATTATAACTGAAACCCATTTTACTAAATACTCATATATTTTCATTCCTGGATATAAACTAATAAAAACCAATCATCCCGACAACACGGCACATGGTGGAGTCGCCATTTTAATCAAAACCTCCTTATATTATCAGCTTCTTCCTAATTATAGTTATGACCATATCCAATCTTACTCAATTTTAATTAAATTGAACAAAATCCCAATCACTATCGGTTAGTTCTACTCCCCCCTCGTCACAAAATAACTAGAGCAATACTTAACGATTATTTTAACACAATTAAAACTAATTTCATTATCGGCGGTGATTATGTAACTTCTTATAAAAAAAAAAAAAATATTAATAAACAATTACGTCCAATACGTAACGGATCAGTTTTACAGAATATACTGAAAAAAATATTGATTTACAAATTACAAAATTATTTTGTAAGATGACTAAGTGTATGCTCAAACAAAAAAATGTTGGTTCAATCAGACGTATTGATTTACTTAACTAACTAAGTAATTTGTGATAGGAACAATTTCGTTTTTGTTCTTTGTTATTTTGTTATACATAACTGAAGTTGTATTATTATTACATTTCATTATGCACATACAGCAGAATTTTATTTTTAACAAAATGTTTGGTATCCTTTACAGTAAATTTTGAAGATTAACACAGGGGTTTAGTTAATAATACAAAACTATTTGTAACAAAATCATTTGTTCTGTTAATTTATTACAAAAAATAGTATAAGGTACTTATGTAAAATGTAATAATCACAAATTGATTGGTTAAGGCAAACAGTTTATACGGTGTAGATCAGTGGTTCCCAATTAGTGTGTAATCACGGATCCCTAGCTATAACTTAAATTAGTTCGGGGAACTCTTTTATGTAAATACTTACTTTTAAATTTTGTTTTATTATGAAAATAAAAAAAAAATTTATGATTTATTTTATTTTAATTTGACAAACCTTTTCGTAATAATTTACACACACATTTTCTAAAAAAAAAAATATTTGTATTTAAAAATATTTATTTGATTTAACACTTGATTTTACATACAATATTATTGCAATTACCTTTTATAATTTATTTATGAGTTACTTATATTAGTTATTGCATTGATTTTCGAACTTTATGAGACAAGTAAAACTTTTCTTTTTTGTTCATAATTTTATCTAAATTCGGCTGCAGACTTGATATTTTAACGTCAGTAACATTAAGTAAAAAAAGCTTTTTCACATCTATATGTTTTGCAAAAGCAATCAAATTTTTCTCGGCCAGTTGCTTTTGAATAAATTTTGAACAATTTATCAAAAATCAATTACTTTTTTATCGTTCCGTTATCCACCAAATCAATTCATATTGTTCTTGTTAAGAGAGATTTTCTATTTTTTCAATATCACAGAAAAATGGATGTTTTATCCACGTATTGTTTGGATCAGGTTGATGATATTTATTTATACAAAATTGATTATTTATCTTTTTCGCCATAATCGAGGTACAATGAAACCTCTATATAGTGGACAGCCGAGGGGAATTAAAAATTGTCCATTATAGAGAGTTGTCCACTATTGAAAAAACCTCTACTTAGTGGACATTTGCAAAAAATTACTAAATGTCCACTATAGGGAGACACTATAGGAAATTGCAGGTTATATGTACACTGTATATGAACATATACATTGGAATATTAATTTATTATTTATTATGAATGTATATTATAATATAAATAAGTATGTTTATGTATGTACGGCAGTTAACGGTTGTACACCAGAACCGACGATCGAATGGGCTATCGCTTATACGCACGGAACGGCGTCCGACAAAGAATCCGATCGTAAAATAATTAAATCGTCGTATGGAAAGAAACCTGAGACAATGAGAGAAAGAGTGGACTGTATGGTTAGGTTTGGAAGTAATGTGGAAGAAAGGTGGGGCAACCAACTAAAGTATTAAATAATAAATATAACAATTGCAAATTATATTAAATGATTGTAAGACAGAAGACAATATATTTTATGAACTTATAGACTAAGTGAGTTGACCACATATGGTCGCCAGAAATAATAATAATTAATAATAATAAAAGAATAACAATAATAAATAACAAATTGATAACGATGTACGACCTGGTAATACCAACACAAAATTGAAGTTGGGTGACGATGGCCAACCTGTCGCAAACAGTCGGAAGGTTCCTTGCCGCGTATGTAGAGAGCGCCGCTGTCACATGCGAATGAAAAATGTTGATTCGGCACCTGGCGATGACGTCACAAGAACACAAACCGAAATACGGGAATTCCCAACCGTTCGGATGACGAGATTAATGGCGCACACGACGTCGGCAAAACAATAAAAAAAAAAAAAAAACACTCACGGAACGATAATAAAAACAAAACAACTGTGCGACAATGGCGATCGGAAACTTCACAATGGCAACGAGAGCCCGATACGCAAGAGGTTTCCTGAATTCTCTCGATGATGAGAACGGAGTGGATGTGACGACGACGGTCAAAACCACGTGGTGCGGAGTGCTATGGATGGCGAAATATATAACAAAAAAAACACTAACGATGGAGTGGCTCACAGTGTACACGACGTCGGCGATTGTCAGTGTTAACGGTGGCGACGCACCGGTACAAAAAATGGTGGATATGCTATTTTGCCTAGACGGTTACGTAAAACACATGAACACAAGCACACGAAGGTGATGATGAACGTGTAGACGACCGACGACAGACCGGTCCTGGGAGCGGGTAGCAGGCTAGCCATCGGAAAACAGCACAGCTAACTACCCCCTCTCAAGAAATCGATCATGTTATCGACCAAGTTTGCAGGAAGCCAATATGCCACGATCCTTGCACGACATTTGTCCCCAACAATGTATGTATATTTAATGTATGTATGTATGTAGTATAAAAATGTTTAATGATTATGTAAAATTAAAAAAATCTGTAATTTTTTTTGTAATTTTTTCTGCTCTTCAAAATGAATTTGTAAATTGGCTACCATTGATAATGCGATTTCATCTTCTTTATTTTTACAATATGTTTTTAAATTATTTATTGTTTTCCAAACTTCTTCAAACGTTGGATTGTATATCGAATCGTCTTCATCTTCTTCTTCTTGTTCTTCGAGTTGTTCGGTTTCTTTTTCACTAAAATTGTCTAGATTACAATTGATTATATCTGATATGATATTCGCTATAAAATCAATAGCATATTAACTAGATATGTAGATGATGAAAACCCATAATTTATATTAATAAAAGATATTTTTCTTAATGGGTCTGAAAGAATTATTTTTGAGTGTTCTACAATAGAGTTTGATGAGCAATTGTATGCTTATGAAGTTGAAATCCACGAATTAAATTATTGTTTTATTTTCCAAGACTCGTTAATTTTTCCTATACCAAATACTTTAAATACTGTGTCAAATGGAACAAAATATGTGACAGTTCGTGATCCGTTGTAAATTTTGTAAAATATATATTATATTACGGAATAAATTATCATTATTATCAAGTTAAATTTAACATAGGAGTCAATATAATTAATTTTTTATTTTCAGACATATGACATATTATATATTTGAATAATATATTGCAGTACTCAGATATTTTTTCCTTGCATGTTTTGAAGTACCTATATTAATTAATTTTATGTACATAATATAATATGAATATTTAAAATTTAAGATTATATCAAAATATTGACATTTTGTTTTGTATATTGTTAACTATGTGCTAATATATATCATGATTTTTAAAGTTAAACTTGACAAAGGAGTCAGTATAATTTATTATAATTGTAAAATATGTACATTTATTTCATATAATTTGACCAGTTAATTTGTTTTTTTATTTTTAATCATATAAATTATTATATATTATATCTGTAAATATATTACAGTACTCAGATATTTTTTTACTTGCTTATTTTTAAGTACCTATATTAGTTAATTTTATATACATATGTGAATATTTAAAATTTAAGATTATATTAAAATAGATCATAAATATTATGTTAGCTATCTAATATTTAAACTGTAGTGAATATTTAAATAAAATAAGTATATTTTTTATCTGCATTTTGATTATTGTATATTAACTAAAAGTTTTGTAATTATAACATTTTGTACATGTAATCAGTTAATGGAATAATATTAATAAAACATATATTGTAAAGGTAACTACAAATTGTATACCAACAAATACAAATTTAAGTATTGACAACAAAATTATTAGTTGTGAATGAAGAGTAAATTTGTAAGTATCACAAAAATTACTTGAATCAATACAAACTTACCCTGTTATTGGTACAAAATTGTGTATAATACTAAATAATCAATCATGTTACTAATACCATTGATTATAGAATAGATAGATAGTCCATGGTATAGAGATATTAGGCTACTAAAATTATGTTTGTTCAAACTGCCGATAGGATGCGTTGTATAATAGAAAAAATAATTATTTTACAATCTGTATAGATCAGCGGTTCCCAAACTGTGCTCCGCGGAGCCCCTGGGGCTCCGCAATGGTTTCCCAAGGGCTCCGTTCGTTACACCACAAACATTTAATAATTTTATATAATTTAATAATATATATTTCATAAAAATCTCGTCAACACTCAACTTGACATAATTCACCGATATGACGCCAACCTACTATGTAAAATCCCGATAAGAAAATTGTGTACAATTATTTAATTTTAGAATTTAGATAATACTAGTAAATATAGAAACTGGATAATTTCTACCATTTAATTAAGGTTTGACTCTCAATTACTAAATTATTTTATCAGTTTATCGCGCAAATTGACGAACGACGGACATGTGATTATTTTGTTTAATCCGGTGAATTTGTTATTTTATTGTGCGTATTTATGAACAACGGACGTGTATTTTTTCTTTGATTCAATTTTTCATTTTTTATTGTTTTAATTGGCATATTTACGAACGACTCAGTATATTTCTACTTTACTGAAATGGAACGGTGGTTCAAAACGGGCTCCATAAGACCTGAAAATCGTAAGCCAACAACTGTTGATCAATCAAAGGAAGATATCAATTGTTGTAGCAAAAATGTTTTAGAGTCTACGATACCTGATGTAGAAAATCTGAAAGGAAACAAAAAACGAAAATATGACGATTCATATTTAGACATGGGATTCACTGAATTTTCAGATGGGCGTCCTCAGTGTGTGATATGTAACAAAGTTTTGCCTAATAGCTCAATGTTCCCTGCTAAGCTAAGACGACATTTTGAAACTCATCCTGACTTCACAAATAAAACTGCAGACTATTTCAAAAGAAAAAGTGATGAACTCCATGCAACTCAGAAAACGTTTATATCTCATGTAAAGACACATTCCGAAAAATCACTGAAAGCATCGTACTTAGTTAGTCATGAATTGGCTCTTGCTGGCAAACCGCACACCCTCGCTGAAACTCTTATAAAACCACTATTAGTGAAAGTAGTGAAGTGTATGGCCGATGAAAAAACTGCGACTATGATCTCAAATATACCTTTATCAAATAATACTGTGCGTAGTCGAATTCAGGACTTATCACACGAGGTTAAAGACACCATAATTTCTCGTATCGGTCAAACAAAATTTTCGTTACAACTTGACGAATCTACGGACGTCGCCGGATTAGCTGTGATGATGACATTTGTACGGTACGAATTTTCTGGTATTTTTCATGAAGATATTTTGTTTTGCAAACCACTTCCATCCTCAACAAGCGGAAGTGAAATTTTTTCTATGCTTGATGCCTTTTTCATTGAAAACTCAATACCATGGAACAATTGCATTGACGTGTGCACAGATGGCGCAAAGGCCATGGTAGGTAATGTTGCTGGCGTTGTTGCAAGGATCAAAAAAGTTTCACCAAATTGCACGAGTAGTCATTGTGTATTACATCGACATTCCCTCGCAACGAAAAAAATGCCAGTGTTATTAAAGCAAGTGCTTGACAACGCCGTTAAAATTATTAACCATGTTAAGACACGACCTTTGCAGTGTAGACTGCAAAAAATACTATGTGAAGATATGGGAGCTTTATTCAAGTCATTGTTATTACACACAGAAGTACGGTGGTTGTCGCGAGGTAAAGCATTGTCCCGCTTACTTGAACTTCGAACGGAAGTTTTTTCAATTTTGAAAGACAATAATAGTTTGCTAACAGATTATTTGAATGACCAGGAATGGTTGTGCAAATTATGTTATTTGGCAGATATTTTTTCAAAAATGAATGAATTTAGCACATCTATCCAAGGAAAACAAAAGACAATATTTGATGCTAATGATAAAATTTTTGCGCTAAAGAAAAAAATAGCATTCTACATTGAAAGCGTCGACAATAAAGACTTGACATGTTTTTCATTGACTTCAAACTTTTTACAAAAAAACGAATTAAAAATAAATGAATCATTCTAAGAAATAATTAAAGAACACCTCAATAATTTACTTCAAAATTCGAATTCATACTTTCCAAAGGATGTTCAAGAATCGATTCGAAAAAACTATGAGTGGATTCTAAATCCATTTTCAGTGACGTCAAAACCAGCAGCTCTCAATGCAGCAGAATACGAGGTTCTTATTGATATGGTTTCGGATAGTTACTATCAGACATCATTTAAAAGCAAACCAATATCTGAATTTTGGGCTCAGTTAGGGAAAGATCATTCAATATTAAGTTCAAAAGCTAAACTGCTTTTACTGCCTTTTGGTACTACGTATCTTTGTGAAACCGCTTTTTCGAGGTATACAGCTACAAAAACCAAATATCGATCACGTTTGGATGCAGAAGACGATATGTGTCTTCAACTGACTTCTGTGATACCGGACATCGACAAACTTAGTAGTAAAAAGCAGGCCCATTGTTCACATTAAGACTCACACAATAAGACGTATAAATGTAACGCTGTATTAATTTTAAATATTTTTTTAACTAGTTTAATTCTAATTTTGTAGATTTCAATAATAAACAATATTTTCTCCAGTTCTTGTAAAACTATTATTTCCTTTATTCATAAATATAATTTTATTTTGACTCCCGTATGTATACAATTCGTGTTAATCATGCTTCATAGAACACAGGCAAATGCAAATTAACGTTAAATTTTTCTTGGGGCTCCACGAGAAACTTCTCCTTAAAAAAAGGCTCCGAGGCTGAAAAAGTTTGGGAACCGCTGGTATAGATAAATACAGAACGAGTGTCGAGCGCTGCCGCACTGGGCGGGGCGGGCCACGGGTGCTCATAACTCAGTATTGCATTGCGCAGAGTTATTTATACATTTTATTGATATTTAATTCCTAGCACTCGTACCTAATGATTTACTATTTTAAATAATATGATTAAATTGATAATTAAATATGATTAAATCCGTTTACGGCGGAATTTTACAGATTTTACCGAAATTACTCAGTTTTTCAACAGTTTCTCACAATTTGTTCTAGTAGATGTACATAAAGAAAAAATACAATTACTTCTTATCGAAGTCCTAATCGTTCTGGCTGTTGGATTCTTGTTATAACCACCCTTATGTCGAAAAATACTAAAATGATTTTCTAATACATCCTGATTCAAACGGTTGGTCATTAAAAATACTATATCATTAGATTTTTCTTCTTCAAAAAATTGCAATACACCATTAATGGTCTGCTTAAAACCTTTAAAACAGGGTGGTTGTGTTAATTTTCCTTTTTTTAATTTATGTAAATCTGTAAAGTATTGCGAAGCTTCTAATAAAAAATGTTTTACAGTACCTGAATCAGTTAATGCACAGAGATATGGATTATGGCTATATAAAGACCGGCTATTTAAACAATCAAATAAATTATTAATGAACTCAATAAAATCTGCTGTGTTTGAAGCAGTGCTATTTAGAAGTTGTCCTGTTAGTATGCAAGTTCGGATTGTTGCTGACATTGAATTGCTTAGTAATTGTGTGGCTAATTTAACACGCATTTTTTGAAAAGAATTTGGATAAATATGAGCATCTGTTATTTTAATGAGAGACCTACTTTTATGATTTTTTTATGTCATCAAATGAGATTATATTATCACCTTTAATAAAACAGGCTTCAATTAAATTATTTCTTACACTTTTAATTAAATGTGGAACGTCAAATATAGAAAATATTTTATTATTATCAACATAAAAATATAGGCTATCTTCTGAAATATTTAATGATTTTAAAGAACTTTGATTATTTGTGCCTTGATCACAAACAACAACTTTTGGACACAATCCTACTTCAAATAAATTTTTAAGGACGTCAATTATTAAATTTTTTAAATTGATTTTGTCAACACCAGAATGAGAAAGAAAATAGGCGACTGGAAATTTCCACGGTGAATAAATACCTCGAGCCATAAACACCAGAACACAGTTAGCACTTTTATTTGTCCTGCCATATTGACCTAAGTCTTCAAAACCTTCAATGAAATCAAATTCTTTGGAATATTCTATAAATTCTTTTATATACATCTCATCGAAACAAACAGTGCATACTTTTTCTTTATAATCAGTTGATTCAATTTTTTTTTTAAGATGACTGAAAAATATTTGATTAAAACCTGGTAAGAATTTTGATTGACCTATCCAATGACGAATTGTTGAAAGTCCTGGTAAATTTACTTTTTGGGAACGTAAAAATTTATATGCACTGGGTGATTTATAATATAAATTTAAAGCCAAATTTTTTTCATTTAATGTCCATGGACATTGTTCTATCTTTTAATTGCATAGTCACAATTGCTTTGGAGTTAATTGATGAAAATTTATGTAAATTTATTGAATTTTTTAAATTATTATAGCGATTAAAACATCTACCTCTTTTTTTAAATTTGAAATATGTGTGATTTTATTATGAATAATTTTATTTTTTTATTTTAATTTTTGTTTTAAAATTAATTTTCTAGGAGTATCTTTTTCTAACTAATCACATTTCCTTTTTAAATTTGAGTCTGGCAATTGTATTATATCTGTAATTTTAGTTTTATTAGGAGTAGATAACGATGAAGAGGGGCTAGAAAAAACTAACTCTACCATGCCTGATTTTGTGTGTGTATAAGTATTTACTGGAGTTGAAATTGTAGGACATTCTTGTTCAGATGCATCATTTTGGTTAAAACCTAATAATGTAGATGGTTGTTGTTTTTGCTCAGATTTATATTTATATGGAATAGCAGTGCTTACTAAACGGATTTTATTAAATATATTTGTAAAGCTCTCGGGGGGGAAATGCTCTTGACAAATGTACCTATTGTGAAGTTTTTCCTGTACAATTGAGAACAAACTTGAGTTTTCTGTAGACGTAGAGATAAACCAAATATAACAATTGTTTGAAAATAATCATACATAGGTCTTATGGAAATTTATTGGTGTAATGATCATACTAATTATACAATGTTTTGATAATTAAGCAAGAAAGAAAAAATAAAGTATCCAACTATTATTACTCCAGTGTAATAAATAATAATTTTTTTGTTATATACTAAAGCATTATTAAAATACTTTAATAAAAATATTTAAAACAAATTTTAAATAGGTATTATTTGTTTTTTATAATTAATTAATTAGTACTTAACATGAACTTAGTGATATAGTTTTTTATATAGATTTACCTATATTGTTCATTATAGGTACCTACACCAAAACTCCAAAACCAAAAATTAGTTTATATGTGTTTGATAAATAATATACAAATAACAGAATAAGTTGCTAATAATGTTGTAATAATGTTCACAGAGTAAATCGTAAAATATTAATGAAATAATGATAATAAAATAATAATCACTAATTTTATCGATTATAATGGGAATAAATATAATGGTACTTCAATTTTTCATTATACATGAAAAATAATTCTATAAATAGAAAGACGGTATTTTTCGCCGACCCACGTGATTGCCTTCCCATCTTCATGACTATCTATGATAAAGGTACCACCACCTTGCATCTAGCTCCCACCGCGTTCGTCGTTCATCTACTTATGATAGAGGTACCACCATCTTGCATCCTAGCTCCCACCGCGTTCGTCGTTCATCTACCTATGAGAGAGGTACCACCTCCTTGCATCACAGCGACGCCAGCGCTCCATAGCGGTTGTATCTTACGAGTAGTCACCAAATATTAACATTGCGTTGACTATCTATCTATTCTATAATCAATGCTAATACTAATTATTTTGTATATGTAATCAAATTTATTCAATTACAAGTGCTTAATATATTGTTCCTCCAACAATATATAATCAATAAAAATCAATTTGTATACTTAACTGAACGTAATGTTGTCACTGAGGCAACTACATTTCACAGCTACCACTATTATATTTTGGTTCCTACAACAATACTTTTTTTTCAGTATACGCGATTAGGATGGATTATTTCCGGTCCGGTACCGCACTCGACAGTTTGAAATACGAACGCTTGTACATCGCTGTTCACGCAAATTTCCCCAACCCTACAAACACTTTAAGACCAAATGGCTGCATTTTATCGGCTCGAAGAAATAGCACCAGATCAATCATACACTATAGCAGGGGTCGGCAGCCTTTTAAACCATGCAGGCCATATTTTTTTTAAATGTTTATCAAGAGCCACATTAAAAAAAATTTTTACATATGATATATACTAATAATTGTATTGCTATTATATTTGATTATTTTACATAGAAATATGAGTGTAAAAAATACGAATGTTACTGGAAAAAATTGCTTTTAAGAAAAAATTTAATTTTTTGACAAAACATAATGGCTTACCTTTGTTTTCGACGAAAAAGTATAAATCAACACAAGAATTATTAAAAAAATGATGTTCATCACAAATTTTTCTTTTTTTAGTTGCCATAATGCTTGGATTTACTTGTAAAATGAAACTATTACAAACAGTGGCGTAGCCAGGATTTTTAAATGGGGGGGGGG